AACCGCAGCAACCAATAATTTTCTTATATACGAAACCGAGGGAATCAATCATAAGCAAAAGTATATATCACAATCTCAATCCGGAAAGATATTTCTAATGAACAAAGAACATCGGTTGAGATTTCAAGAAGCTCTCGTACATCTGTTCTTGAGGCAAAGTGAAAAACTCGTGGTGTTGGATGTCAAATCAACATTCTTTCGATCCGACTTCATGGATTTGGATTTCTTTGGTGAAATTTTAAAGAAATTGGTCAAGATACCTTCCTTTCAACTTGCCATCACCAATGAAATAGAAAATTTTTGCACGAAAAAGTTTTTTTGAATTCTTGGAATTCATGTCAAATAATTGTTCACGATTTAATGAGTTTAGGATCAACTTAAATAATCCATTTAAACACATCAATCTATCACCTTTATTATTTAATATAATTCAACGACAAGATGATTTAAATAGGATCTACTTAATGACTGACATGTATTCCAACGTTTTATCATCATTAAAATCCTACAATTCCTTGACGTGTATCGGATTAAGCTTCACCAGAATCAACGACAAAATAATCGAAAGTTTAACAAAATGTGTCAATCTATCCAAATTAACGATAGATCATTGTGATGGTTTAACTCTGGATTATTGTAAGAGATTGTCGAATGAATCCTTTCAAAAGTTGAAAGAGTTGTCTTTAGCGGTAAACAAGTGGAATCATCATTTAACAGCATCATTTATTAGTTCGGTGGGAGGTCCTTCAATCGAAAGGTTAACGATTACAAGTATGACCAACTCAATAATGGAACAAGTTTTAAATCATTGTTCAAACGTTAAAACGATTAAATTGGATTTATTTGAAATTAATTTAGAACTTTTACAAAAAATTGAAAGAATGAAATTTGAACATCTCATCATTAATTCATTACTCTTGATCGATCATTCTCATAATGTTGTAAGAATTTTATCAGAATTGGCGGGTTATTTACCCAGCACGACAAAGCATCTTACCTTTAATACTTATCAAACTATATTTAAACATGAATTAAATAATATTTTAAACAAGTCGAATTGTTCTTTTGTATCCTTGGATTTTAGATTTGAAATTAATACTGATCTATTAAATATAATTCTGAATTATGCTACGAAA